AAACATGACATAAATAACATTTATCTTTTTTCTAATAAAATTGCGTACGTGTACCCAGTGGTTAGCCTCCACGTGGCTCCTTCAGCAGCAGAATTTGCAGCCCTATAAAACCACCCCCTACCCTTAGCAGTTTCTGTCAAACTCTCTACCCTTTGTTGTTTTCTTTCTCTGATCAAACTTGATAAGTATGGGTACAGCAACCTGCGTCGACATCATCATCGCCATCCTCTTGCCACCTCTTGGGGTCTTCCTCAGGTTTGGCTGTCATGTAAGTTTTTCTCTTTCGCGTCTGTTATTTTATAGATGTTGTCTGTCATGATGGTGGAGAGTCCATCATACAAACGTCTTACATATTAACACTGCTTGAATCATCATAGTAGTGGAATTCATAGATTTAACGTTCATCGTTGCCCTAATTTGTGTATGGTCTGTGTCTATGTGTGTTTTGAAACAGAATTTTTATGCAGTTATTTTTATGAGAAATTTTGATGTTTATATGTGGTGGATTTTGATGATTTGCAGTCGGAATTTTGGATCTGTTTGGTGCTGACTCTGTTTGGTTACCTCCCTGGTATTATATATGCCATCTATGCCATCACCAAGTGATCCTTTCAATTTGTGTAAGCACCAACTTCTCTATCAATCAATATTTCTTGTTTTTATTTATTTTTAGTTGTAGTGTGATATTCAATTATTCATTGATGATCGAAGGAATACGTAGAAAGAGGATAAAGTGCTTTAAAATGGGGACTTAGATAATTTTTTTATTGGGCTTGTTTTGGTTTGGATATTTCATGAGATCGAATATCTTAATTTTTTGAGAAAATTGAGATTTTGTTCAATTAGAGATTTTGTGATCCTTGAACTTTGCTCAATTAGAGATTTTGTTCTTGAAGTAAAAATCCGCAAGTTTTGATTCCTGAACTTCTTATAACGTGGAGTAATGGTTTTTTTTATTTTTTCTAACTCTGTTAATGCTTCTATTCAAAATAAAGGGTTTAAAGATGCAAAAAATGTGTGGAGATTCTAATAGATTTAGCCAGTATGACCATTGCTCTACATTATTACAAATTCAGATTTGAACTCTACGAATTTTAATTTAGAGATCAAAGTACCAATTAAACTAAAACTTAAAAGATCATTGCTCAAATTATCTCTAATATTTTTTAAAGGAATAAAACGTCCTCTTTAAGCAAATATGCCTTTTTTGGGTTTTATCAACCCCATATGATTTAGTTCGACAGAGAAAATGATTTGGGTCAACTTGAATGACCTGCACTAATTTATATATTGCCATCCACCAATACTTATGTGGTATATATGCTTTAACAAAGAAGGATCAGTGACTCATATCACATTCTGATCCTTTTAATGTTTTTTATTCGACAGGTGGTAAAGGATGTGTGTGAAGGGAGGCTATGTCTTTTTGTTTATGTATCAAGGGTTTGTTTTCAACCGTTTGATGGATTGATCTTAATCTGGTGTAGCCAAATGGATGGTTGATCTCATTCATGTAGCGTGTATTTAGAGCAATTGATCTTTGTTTTTTCCTTTTTTTTTTTACTTTCATTTTGATTTGAATAAAAGACTTAGATTTGACAATTCCCAGCCCTTAGTCAAACGCATTTGTTCAAGGTAAATTGCAAGCATCATCGACCACCTCGAGATGAGCTAGTGATTGAGGATGAATTCTAAATCTGTATTCTACATGACACGTTATGAATTTTTTAACGTATGTAAATTACACATGATAGTTAAGAAGGGATTGAAAAACCTTTATAATTCTTCTCGACCCTCAAAAAAGTAAATTATGGATGCGAACACATTGATTGGTCCCTTTCCTTGAGCATAAATTTTTTTGCAAGCATCATCAATTTTGTTGTAAACCATAAGCATTACAAATCCAAGGCTTGTAAACTAAGACCTCAAAAGGTTTACTTTAAGAGGACTGATCACATTCTTCCTACCGCTTAGGAAACACCATTATTTGGCTTCAGCTTTTAGTCACGGAAAATGACTTTATTTTTTTACTTTTCGCAATTCCTCTATCGAATAAATTAAAGAAAAATCAAATAATAAAAACAAAGGGAAGAGTGTTAAAAGAGAGATGAAGAGTGTAAACATCTCAACCCTTAATCAACCACCATTTTCAAAAATTTATTGAGATATTTTGCATCTTGATTTTGGTACTTAATACCTCATTCTAATTGTAAACACTCTTGAATACTGTCCATATTGTTAATTCCCAAGTTTCATAGGAATACTGTCCAACTAATCACAAAAAATGAAGAATAATATTGTCCAATGAATCACAAAAATGAAGAATAATATTGTCCAATTGAGGTATAAACAATCTAGTAAGATCTTCTCAATGTCCCAAGGGGCAACCCTACTCTTTTTCTTTGTGATGCTTTCCTTTAATTAAAAAACAATTAGATAACTAATCAGATGTGACAATAGTATTTTCTGTTTTTTTTTTTTATTATTTTTTTTAATAAGAAAAGAGATCTAACTTCATGCTTAAGCACACAAGCATCAACCTGTCTTAATCAACTGGTCTAATCAACGTCGGTCCGTTTTTGTTTTCAAACTGAGCCAGGCTGCTACTTCAAACCCATTACTCCACTAATAAGCTCCCACGTGTCCCATGTGAGAAGAAGAAGGTCTAGTCTTCTTCACGAAGATTATAGATTGGACTTTAGGTTATAAAATGCAGATGAGATCACGTGCATAGTGTAGGCGATTCAGATAAGACCCTATGTTGGAGAAATGTCAACAATTTATAATAAAAATAAATAATACAATGTATAAACAAAGAAATAATATTAAATAGAAATATTGAAGATCGAAGCTTGTGTACTGTAATGTCATTGAAACAGAAATTTCGTTCTACTTAGTGCTTGTAGTTCTATGAACGTCTGCTTCACCAGGATTCAACGATCAAGTCAGAATTCTAGCACTGGAAAACTTAACTTCTGTCGAATTTTTGTGTGGTTCTCTCAGAAATGATATTTGTGATTGTAGAAGAAGAATGTTAATTTTCTGTATGCTAAATGCCATGCAGATGGATGTATATATAGTAGGTGTATGCCTATTCGTAACAGGTATGAGAAAGGGATGTGTCAGTTAGGGAGACATCTTCTCCAGAGGGGCGCTTTGCTCTCTGCGTTCTTTCATCACTCTTTAGACTTCATCTGAAAATATGAGTCTGTTGATTAAAAATAATAAAAAATAAAAAATTAATTATATTCGAAATTAAAGAATTTAATTACTAAAGAGCCAGAGTCCAAGGGTGAGCTAAATTTTATTCTTCAAGATCCATCACTTCAATCACTTTTTATAAAAGACAAAGCTTTATAAAGTGAGAAAATCTTTTGGTAGTGACTAATGTGGGACAATTAAATTTCTATCCAAAATTTCCAATACCTCATTGGTCGCTGCATACTTGAAGCCTCCATCACGGCCGTAGTTCCGGCATGCCGCGGCAACCTACGAGCCGTTAGATTTTCCTGACAGCCTGGAGGCTGGTCGATACTCGATTTCATCCCAATGGTCGTCGGTGGCAAACATTGCAACATTTCACAGACCCCCTAACCAAAGTGAAAAAATGTGTTGTAATGAAAAAAGAAACGAAAGAAAGGATCATTATGTAAGGAAAAGAAAAAAAATGGTGCAGAGGTATCCGATCACGTTATTTTGTTATAAAACATGTCTTATAAAAGTCTGAGAAAATAATTAGCATCACGCAAATAATTAAATTCGATTTATTGGAGTGCTCGTGCAACAAATTAAATTAGACTAGAAACAAATTAGAATTATGCAACAATTCCTAATTGGTCATCCCCTATCGAATAGTTTAAATTTAGATACCAATGAAAAAATCAACCAAAATAATTATATAAATACTACTATAATTCAAAATAATTACATGATTGACACTCAATCCTACAACGTTTTTTGACTGGCCAACTTTTTCTTATGACCGGTTGATCAAATTTTCCAGGGTTCGGTTGATCAAATTTTTCTGTCTCAATGTCACTGTCCAACAGTGAACTTCAAAAAAAACATGTTAAGTAATGAATTTTCTCATAAGCTTTCTAATTATATTATGTATACATGAAGAAAAACAATAAACTCACACAACAAAATATAACTAAAGATGAAAAAGTTGCACATATTGTTTTTTATAAGTCATTGTTGAACAGTGACTTGGAATATTTTTACGACCAGAAAAAAAATGTCAACCACAATTACCCGTGGCCAACGACAATTTTTGGTAGTAGTATCAGTGACATGTGGGTCATGTGCAATGGAGAAAAAAAATATAAATATTTATATGCTTATAAGTGTATTTGCCAGTAACATGTCAATAAATGCAGCATTTTTTTTTTGTTGAACAAATACATTATTTAATGAACAAAATTTGATTAATCCAAAACTATTGAAACTTGAAACACAATAAGTTCGACCGAAAAAAAGGAACGCAATATGGGTTATCAAACTTTGTATATACAAGAAGCACATGGGACTGATGTGAGAACCGCACGAGCCATGTTCACCCGTTTCATGAATCTGAATTTCTACATCAAAACTTAGCCGTATGATTCTTGCTTCTTTATTCGGATACGGATTCGGATTCTGCAGCATGCCATACCACGGTGTATGATTCTGATAGAACACCCAAACCCAAAGGCCCCAACCCAAAAGTAAGATTTACTCGTCCTCCACAAAAAGAGACATTCAGTAGCGGACACACGGTCCGATGAATCAAGTTGTATAACATAGTAGTTAAACACTTACAAAAATTTCAACCGCGTATATTATAACATTTAATGTCCTATAACGTGTTCTCAACGTACGAAAAAATTTATCATCCACAGATTTCACGGGGCTAAGGAACCGCGCAGTACATTGTATTGCTCTGTCTCCACCGAATGCATACCCTCTCCACGTGTCCCATCAGCACGCGGAGGAGCTGTATATATAAACCACTCACCGTTTCTGTGACACCACCACGCACATATCCACCAGTTGCCCTACTTCCTCTTCTTCTAAAACTCTCTCAGCTTTCCGGCAAAAAAATTCTCAGCAAGTATGCCGAGCGAAGGAACCCTAAACTTCGTTGACATCCTCATCGCCATCCTCTTGCCTCCTCTTGGTGTCTTCCTCAAGTTTGGCTGCCATGTTAGTACTCTTTCTTCCGAGTCGTTTAGTTTATAGAGATTATACGTCACACGAACGCACATGGTACCACCGTTTGAATCGTTAGACCAGTAGAATTTTACGGACGTGATGGTCCAGACAGTGTTATTTTCTCTAATTAATCTGTAAATATAATATAATTGTGATGTATGTGTTTTCATGGGTCTAATATATGGTGGATTTGATGTTTTTTCAGGTGGAATTCTGGATCTGTTTGTTGCTGACCATCTTTGGTTACATCCCTGGGATTATCTACGCCGTCTATGCCATCACCAAGTAATACCTCAATTAATTTCTGTAAACACCCCTTTTTATTTTTAAACTTCGACGGGACGAAGAAAATTTTATTGAATTTTTTTTGTACTTTTAATTAATCATCTGCACTCTTGAGACAAACATTTTACTATTTTTTTCTACACTCACATGAAAAATGTTTGAGGAGGAGCGTTATAATCCCTGACATTTTATTCAAGTGTTTGAATTCCAATAAAACAAAATTTCTTTTATTTTTGTTAAATTAAAAATGAGGGTTGAAGTTTAAATTACATGATTAAGCAAACGTATCTTTCATTGATGGACCAAGGGTAGGTATGGGTCCTCGTGAGTCATGACGTGGCATGCACTTACCAAAGGAAGATTATAATTACACATCTCAAATTACTCATCTCACATCATTTTAATTTTTCTTCTCCCACACATCTGTTTAATTTTTTAATATTTTTCTATTAAGTGTTATTGATGTTTAAAAAATATTAAAAAATTAAAATGGTGTGGCAGAAGTAATTTGAGGTATGTGAATATAATCTTTCCTTACTAAATTATTCTAAATCTGGATCCTTTTTGTGGAGATTTCGAGAATCTGTGAATTATGTGTGCGGTCAAAAATTATTTTAAATATATTTATTTAAAAATAAACATAAACGGTACTTGATAAAAAATTAATCGCACGATGTATCATGAACAGACACGATTTACGAATCTTCAAAATCCGATCTTGAAGTCATGCTCTACCCAAATAGTTTCTCACGTATTTCTGTTTTCTTTGTTTCCGTTGCTGGACAGGTAGTAGAGATGTGAAGGGCACATATGTCATTTTGTTTCTGCAGTATGGGATTGTTTTCAGCCGTCTGATTATCTGGTGTAGCCAAGTGGATGGTTGATAGTATCATGTAGTGTGTCTCGGTGTGATTGTTCAATTTATTTGTTTTTCTTTTCTCATTTTTATTTTTATCCTCCTTCCTTCAAATCTCTCTGTTGTAAAGGTGGATATGGATGGTAGTATTGTGATTACTGAGTAATGTCTCTTAAAACATTAATCATTTATTTTTCAATGTGATTTGTGTTCTCATTACTCCCAATTGGGTTACAAGTTATCCGTTGGTGTTTTGAATAAAATATATTCTAAACTTCATTAATTTACGAGAGCGATATCCAAACTTTAGTTTTAAAGGGTGTGCATAATGCTCTCCCTAATTAACATAATTCACGTATGCAATATCACCAGTTTCAATGCTTCATATATTATTGTTTGCAGCGTTATCAATAAGCAAAGGAAAAGAACATATATTATTATTTGTAGCGTTATCAATAAGCAAAGGAAAAGAACCGCTCCCCCATCATATCCATGCGGAGTATAATTTATAAATAATATATACACAAAAACATGTAGGGCTTTGTAGAGGTTGTGTTCAAGTGGAGCAGAGTGGATGTTAACTTTTAACCCGAAAAAGAAAAGTTGTTCATCTACTTTTTCTGTTCAAAAGCGATACGTGATGATCGCCTGTACATTGCAAATTTGTAATAAAAACAATGGAGGAAGCTACCTACCATCCAATCAATTGCAAAACGACAATGTTGGGGCTCCAGTCCATGTGCTTTCTTATCGTACAAGCGATAGTAGCAGAGGAGAATCAAACAGGACGACGTTACCTCAAAGCTCAAGAAGTAAACGTCCTTTCTTTTTTAACTAACTTAGGTACAAGCAATGTTCTAAAAAACGGTCTAAGCATTGGACGGTGGTGAGTCGAGACGTTTTCTTGCAAATCGGTAGGAAAAATCAGATGGGCTCTAGGCGGGCTAGGCGGTGCTAGGTGGTTTTTTTTTTAATGAAACTGAAAAAATAAAATAAAAAATCCTATTTAAGTCTAAGTGGTTTAAAATTGTGAACTTCTTGTAAATATGTCATCTTACAATACTCATCACTATGGTTATATGACATATATACTTAATGTGTTTTTTGTAAGTGTTAATATGCACTTGTTTACAAAATATATAAGAAATTTACCTAAATCCGCCTATGCCGCTTAGGCGTCCATCTAGACCCCGCCCAGCCGCCTAAGTGCTAGGCGTCAATCCGCCGCCCGACTAGCATCTAGTATTTTTTAGAACCTTGGGTACAAGTCCCGAGAGATTTTAATTTATAACCAATTGTATATTTTTTTCTGTCTATCTTTCTCATCGCATAATCAAATCAAGTAACGAAATACAAAAAGTTATTTTAAGGGTCACTTTCTTAGTTGTGTTTTTAATCCTTGGTCAAATATTATGTTTCCCTGCCCTGATGTGAAACAAAACAAAACGAAAAGAAAGGGTAGGGAAGTAACACAGGTGGTGTCTAATCTAGGCGTTTGCTTACCAAGTAAGTTAGAAAATATTTCCCAATTAACAGTACCCTTTGTGATAATCCAATTCCAAATTGACATTAATAAAAAATTATCTAGTGTATTAAAATCAAGGTAAGAAGATTAAGAGCAGCAAAAACAATGGATGACCAATTTGAAGGGAGAACGTCTTTGTCAGCGGTTCTATTCGCCGCCAACATCGGTAAAACTCCTCGGTGCAGTGTTTTAGCGGCGATCCTGAAAACCGCTGACAAAAAAGGTAAATATTTTTGCGCTGTCTCTGCTTCCTGAATCTCAATTGATGCACAAATTTATAAAACAAAAACACCAAATAAGGGTGAGTAAAAAGCTCTACTGATTCATGTTCACTTTTACGGAGGGATACAAAGAACGATTGAGAAGTTACGCCTCAAGACGGAGTTACTTCAGCACACATCATCCAATACACAACAGATATAAGGTGGTCATAATTTACATCAACCAGTATACAATCAAACGTTTGCAAACCTGCACTTGATGAGGGAGCGAGTAAGCAAGAATTCCCTAAAAGTGATTTCAATTTTTTTCTCTCATCCTTTGAATTGCCACTCCCTGCGGCACATGGGGCAATGCGCCTGAGACGTCTGTGAATTTACCCATTTTAAGATGCAATGGCAGATGGAAAGCATGGTTGCATGCGCCCCAAACTGCAAATAGAATACTTTATCGTCAGATTATATCAATAGAAACCATATAATTTAGCGGGAAATAAGAAAAAAAAACATAGACTAAAAGAAACTGCAAATCACACTACTAATGCAAAACGTGAAATGTCACAATCTGGTTGGTCACGCAAAAAATAATAAAGGGTTTCCTACCTGAAATGCCTGCACTGTAAACAATTTGGTTGGGCAGCTAGATGCTATAACCAAATATACAGGGGTTGACTGTTAGCTTAGGAGCACATCATGCTAGCTGTGTGCATTGCAAACCATGTGTAACATGATGTCCAATGAAACCATGTGTAAATGATGTTCTAAGGTGTTGACACAGATCTGATGTTATGTATTATCTGGGAAATTTCATAAGAGAAAAATAAAGAATATCCAATGTCGATGTCTGTAAATTATCATTGATCTGTATATTCCATAATATTTTGCATCAAAGCATTGCTACGAGTTGATGCCATAATATATGGAAGAATAGAACTACCCACATAAATCATGACAGGAAAATGTGAAAAAAAAGCACAACCATGTGGACACAGGCAACATGAGCTTCACTTTTCGACCAGCACATGTTTACAGATCAACATGAAACTCAGTTTGTGGACTTGGATCTTAATAATAGAAGAAATGTAAGAATTTGGTGAAACATGAAACATGGTGCAAGGCATAAAGACACTAATGTTAGCGACTTACTTAGCGGGCAATCATCCCCAGGGAGTTTACAATCGGGACAACAACCATCAAATGCCATCCTACAAATCCCACATGTTTCGTCTTGTGCATCCCATGTCCATGAAGCGACAGCATGCCACCTGCAGGTCCAAAGGGATAAGAGTTAGAGCTCCAAAGTAGATGAAATAAAACATATCCCAGAAAAAAGGGCACATCAAATTTACATTTAGACACATTCACACATGCAGCAATTGATTATTTCCAATTGATTAATGAACATAAGAGATCGAAAAGAGGTAAAAAAGACATACTCTGTTTAAAATCCCCAGCAGATATCCGCAAAGAGAGAAGGGTCAAGAGAGAACAGTTACGATAAAATGCATAATACGTCCATTTCCCATCAAAGATGTTTCAAGTTAAAACAAGATCACGGAGCAAATGGGATTGTCAAATTATCACGATCGTTGTTAAAAAGATAATCGCACCGAATCATAAACAGGGGGAACATATGCAAGAGATTCATGACTAACATAATATATACTGATCTTGTGATTGCCATTCGTAACATTAGACTACAATTAAGGTAGTACAACTCTACAGCTCATTAAATATTCATAGTTCCAGAGGATGACAAATCATACAAATTCAATACCGTCAGGCTGAAAGTCATTCCACCACGATTAGATGCAACAGTTCAGAGACGGGAAAGAAAAGAGCATTACAAAAGCTATTTCTAAATGGTATAAACTAGTAAATTTGAAAGAAAGAACAAAATCAAAATCACAGGAATTCGAAACAATCAAGCCAAAATTCATTCTACCATATGATTAAATGCAACAAAGTTAATATCTTGGAATAAAAGTATAGAAAATTACATGAGCTAGTTGCAAATGGTATATAAACTAGTGTAGTTTGAAAGAAAGAACAAAATAACATAAACACAGCGAGAAGGATACGCAAGATGTTGACTTTCATCTTCTCCTCCTGCAACTGCAAAACCCCACAACCCTACATTTCAGCGCAATGAAATAGAACAAATTCCCAATTTTCCCAAAATTCAGTAATTTCAAATTCGATATTTCGATTAGCTGATTGTAAAACCCCAAATCTACCTACCCTATACAAACTCCTCGATCAAAACTCAAGGGAGATCGCAAACTGAACCCTCTGGGGACTGAAAAGTGTGGCAAATCACTGCAAAAGTCCGATTCTGTTCTGATTCCGATTCCGGTTCCCATCTCGGGATCTCTGTGTCTGCAATGTATAAAAGGAGAAGTCGCGGTGCAGTTTTGGGCGGGTTGGGAGACCGGCACTTAATTGGGCTGGATTTGAATTCATAGTGTTTAGCATTTTGCACGCGAGCCCAATAGTAGATGGGAAATTTTTGGATCAGACGTCACACTAACACTTGATATTATTGTTTAAATTTATAATATTTTGAGATATGATATCTACACATTATTTTTTATTTCTTACACACCTTTCTAATTTTCAGCCGTTGAATTGAATGAATTTAAGAAGATCAAAGAAGAAAATAATACCAAGGGGTGTGTGGATTGCACATCCCAATATTTTTATAGGGATTGATGAAACGATATAGAGATATGAAAAATGTTTGCACTTAGTCTTTATATATTTGGGAAAAGCTTATGATAAGGTCTAAGAGAAATTCTTTGAGGATTTTAGAGAAGAAATGAGTATGAGTAGCATATATTCAAGCAATAAATGATACGTATGATGGATCAAGGATTCAAGGACTACGGCATGAATAACAAACTGAAAGCTTTGCCATAATCATAGGGTTATGTCAAGACTTAGCTTTTAAGTTCTTACCTTTTTGCATTGGTAATAGATGAGTTAACGGAACATTCAATATGACATCCTTGGTGTATGCTTTTTGCAGATGATACAATGTTGATATATGAACCGTATGAGGGAGTAAATGCAAAGTTTAACCTTCTGCAGGAAGTGTTGGAATCAAAAGATATTAATCTAAGTAGGTCAAGGACAGAGTAGATAAATTGCAAGTTCAGTGGAAATGAGGGTTCAAATGAGACAAGGGGATCATGAAGTACCTAAGAATGAATGCTTTAGTTATCTTGGATCTTCTTGGAAAATCACAAAGAAATAGACGAAGATCTCTCATCCATAATACAAGCTAGATGGATAACTGGAAGAATGCATCAAGTATGTTGGGCGATCGTCTTATGCCTCTAAAACTCAAGATAAAATTTTATAGGGCATAGTAAGGCCAACAATGCTTTACAACATGAATGTTGGGCAGCCAAACATCAACACATGCAAAAAATGAATGCAGCAAAGATGATAATATTTCGTTTGGATGTATGGGCACACAAGAAAAGACATATGTTATTATAAATAAATTATAAATTCATTATCGCATAGGAAGGGTGGGTGAGCATTTAAATGAGGCATGAATCTCTATTGGAGTTTGACTCGTTCGAGATATTTTCTTCTTAAGATGTTTTGTTTTTCTTTTTTAAATGCGAGAAGGTAAAAATCAGAAACTTAAATTGTCTTGTTATATAAAGTATATCCGTATGTATGCCAGAAAAGAAAGATAAACAAAAATTTCTTAAAGAAGAATGAATTTTACCTTGTAAGTGATAATCACCAAAGATATTTATATGTAATAACTCTCTTTTAATGAATGAATGAACCATATCAAAAAATTTGCGTTATAATACATGCATCTATGTATGAAAATTTCAAGATAAATTTCCATATAAAACCAAATGGTGGATAATATCAACAAAAATCCAACAAGGTCATGTAAACAAAATATTATTATGGTAATGAATCTCCAGCCTAGATTTCATATTCTAAATTTGATTTTCAGCGCAAATATTAGTGGAGGTGATGTGTACACATTTCTTTTTTACTTTTCACCATTGGATTGAATAAATCAAATAAAAATAATGGACATGATTAAACAAAGTTGCGTGAGAGATTAAAAATGGTTCGTGTTATTATTTTAAAAATATTAAATTTCGATTGAGGACAAAATATTTCATAATTGATTAAAGTAGCCTCTTGTAAATACTATAAATAGCATAAGCTATCTAGGGTTAAAGCACACCGACTGAAAGTCTGAAACCTAAAGTTGCCTTCTTCCCTTCATTTCCCTAGTTTCCATTTCTCTCTCTATTGAGAAATCATGACCAGAAAGAAAGTCAAACTAGCCTTCATGATGAACAACTCGTCGCAAAAAGCGACGTTCAGGAAAAAGAGGAAGGGATTCATGAAGAAGTATGAAATCAATAAACTTTGTGATGTTCTAACATGTGCTATCATGTACAGTCCAAATAAGTCTCAATTTACCTGATGCCTGGCCTGATCATTCAGAAGTGCGACGCCTCATCGAGCAGTTCAAAAACATGCCCGAGGAGGAGCGGAACAAAGTGATGGTGAACCATAAGATGTTTCTGAAGCAGATGGTCGAAATGGAGCTGGAGAAGGTAAACAAGCTGGAGAAAGGGAACCGAGAATTGGAAATTTGGATGGCAATGAACCACTTCATTGCTGGGAAGCCCCTGAACGACTTGCAGTTCACTGATTTAAAGGAAATGAGGAGGATGATCGAAGAAAAATTGAAGGAATTTGAAGCGAATATCAAGAGCTGGAAGGAGGAGCTGGCGAAGATGAATCAACTCTTAGGTGCAGAACCTACAGTAGCTGGTGAGAACATTCAGAACGTCATGCAGATGGTTCCATGGTCCATGTGGGACGTGCCGACCAAAAGTTCTTGATGTGGATGATAATGTGTCGACTTTTGGGCATTAGGACCACAATGTTCGGTGGTGCTGGATGATCTAAGAACCCCTTTAATTTCCCTTGAGCTATTTAAGTAGTTTTTGTATTTTATTTTTATGTTATTTTTCTTCATCGTTGTTTTAAGTTATTTCTAATTTTATGCTTGCTTATCTTGACCTCAAAACCACATGGTTCCTATGCCTCTTAATTTCTTGCATTTAATCTAGAAAAAATTAATTATATAAGGTTGTTTGGTAACTTTGGTTTGTATTCAACATTCTTAGACTACTTATTGGTATTAAGATCTAGTGGTGTTTCTCGTTATTTGTAAGTGAGAGGTCATAGGTCTGTAATTCATGGATGGTGGAGTCAATTTATCTTTCTCTCCTTAATATATAAACCTAACCCCTATCAAACTCACATTATTATGACAATAATGTAACACAAATCAAAGTTAGGTTGAATGATTCTTACATATAGACATTACACTCATTTAAACTATTGTGCAATGCCCAACGGTTTAATCAAAGCCTATATATATGTGTGTGTGTGTATATATGTGTGTGTGTGTGTGTGTGTTATAGTTTTGCTATATATATATATATATATGTGTGTGTGTGTGTGCACGCGCGCGCGCGTATGTTTTTAAAAGTTCAAAAAGATGCTAAGTTCTAGCCGGACATCAATATGGGGCCTCGTGCCTGGATGGCTAGGTTGGACCTAGGAGGATTTAATGAAATTTACTATATAACATATAAATAGGTCCCTACCTGCACTCTACAAAAAAATACTTGCATTGAGAATTTAGGAAAGTTAAAATTTATGTTATCATGGCATTGACATCGTCACAGACCAATGTATCAAAAATAAGAAAACCCGGAACCAAATTCGACAACTCAATAATTCCATAATCTAAAATTGAGGTCATCTTTCATCTTAATCAATATTCAATGAATCAATATATGTAAATGGCACGAGAGAGTCTAGGTGAATGGCAGCTACAACACCTGACGCATGTAAAGTTAGAGTTGGCGCAAACGGAGGTGAGAGAGAGGAAGAGAGAGAACGTGACTGTGCAAAGAGGCACGGAAAAGAGAAACAAGAAATGTGCGAGAGACATAATATGAAAATTATTATTTGAACTATATAACATCTTTCTACACCCAATGTTTTAAAAAACTAGCCTCGGGGAGCGCCTAGGGCGTCTTTGAGACCGGGCGGTGAGGCTAACGCCTCTGTTTTGTTGAAGTGGGCAAAACGCTTTGCCGGAGATGCCTAGGCAGTGGAGGCGTGCCTCAAGGCGTCTCAGGCACCTTGTCTGGCCTTTTTAAAAAAAAAAAAAAAATACCACCCAAACCTAAACGACATTATTTGGGTAAGGGTTTTCAGTTTCAAAATATAGATTCGACCACTTCCTTCTTCACCCTCTTTTCCCGCGCCAGAAACACACAGCAGCATCACCCCAGTCGATCGTCCTTTCCCAGTCGCCACACTGTCATCACCCTAGCGCTGTCAGCAAACCCACAATCAAATCCCCTATTTTAAAGGTTAAGGTTTCTTAAATTCTGAAAAAGTTAGAGATTTGATTTTTTTTTATTTTTTTTATTTTTTTATATTTTTTTTAACTGGTGTGAAGCCTTGGAGTTGGAAAGTAGAAAAATAGAGAGGAGTGGAGGTATAAGGGGAGGAGGCTAAAGGCTTAAGGGGATGGGAGAAGGATTCGGGATTATGGCTAAAGGCTTAAGGGGATTGGACTGTAGGTGTTGTGTACTGTGTACATAAAAATAATTGAAAAATTAGTCCCATGTTAGTATTGTACTATTGTTGGAAAACTTCAACTGTATGTGATTGTAGACATCGAAATTTCAGTAAAACAAATGCTCACCAATGCATTAAAGTTTTGACGTGTCAAGGCATACATGGCATACGCCACGTGTTGTACAAATTGTACACGTGGCGTGTGACTCAACAAAATAGGAAGAAATACCCTTGAAGGACTAAACAAGTTTTTCTTCTCATTTTGGGCAATGACAAGGCAAGTACATTTCAATCCATTGAGGATCAAAACAAGTTTTTCTTCTCATGTTGGGCAATGACAAGGCAAGCACACTTCAATCCATTACGGATCAAAGCAAGTTCTTCTCATTTTGGGCAATGACAAAGCATACACATTTCAAGTTTAAAATGGTGTTAAGTGGGAAATTAGGCCATAAGTTAGACCACTTCAAGTTTAAAATGGTATTAAGTGGGAAATTAGGCCATAAGTTACACCACTTCAATTTCAATATTGCATTAAGTGGGAAATTAGGCCATAAGTTACACCACTTCAATTTCAATATTGCATTAAGTGGGAAAATTAGGCAATGGTGCTTGGAAAGGAAAAAAATATTTTGTGGTGGTGATTCATTCTCAAAGCCTATAAATAGGCTTCTCCATCAAGGTATCAAGCATCAACCAATTCACAAATACATTTCTCTACACACCAAAACCTTGAAGCCTTAAAGTTCTAAAGCTCTCAAGAAAATCCCGAAGGATCAAGAAAGCACTCTTCGTTTCTTCGTCAAATCCTCCTTCAAGATCAAGCCCCAACGGCCCTTGAAGAACTTCCACCAACTCAAGATCAAGCCCCGACGGCCCTTGAAGAAAGTGTTCATTGTTCATCAACTGTTCATCCTAAGATCAAACCCCAACGGCCCTTTGGATCAACAACCTCAACAAATCCACACATCCAATCGTTCTTCAAGACTAAGCCCAAAAGCCCTTGAAGATCTGCTCATCCATCAACCTTCAAGATCAAGCCCAAAAGCCCCTTGAAGAAATCCATACACCCATTCTTCAAGATCAAGCCCAACGCCCCTTGAAGATCCGTTCATCAACTGTTCATCCTTAGATCAAGCCCCGACGGCCCTTTGGATTAACAACTCATCCACAAACCTACACCTTACGAAGATAGAATCAGAGGACCAAATTTGAGAGAGATCGTAACCCCAAAATCATAAACACAAAAATATTATTTTGTACACGTTATTCTGGTTTCTTGTTTCAAGGAATCTTTCGTGTTCACAAATTTGGCACGCCCGGTGGGACATCTCTACCTCTCATCTCTATCCTCAAATCATCGAAAAACGCAAATGGCATCAAGAAAGGATCAAGCTGTTCCTGCAATCAAAGCAAAGAACAAGAACATCATCGCCGCAAGTGGTGATATTTCGGGCACCATAACCCGAAGTAAGGCAAGAGCTCTTTTTGCCGCGGCTTCCGCCCCTGCATTAACTCTGTCAAAGGAACAAGAGCACCTGAGGCACGAGCCTGTGATCACCCTAGCCTCGCTAAGGGCATCAAGAGGGGAAAGCCTGAGGAAATACTCAGAGTTCCTACTCTCCGACGTTGATTCGAGCGGCAGTACAACCATGCAAGTCATGACCACTGGAGTAACTTCAATCGAGGAGCAGCTAGCTCAGATGAATGAAACAATCGCAAAGCTCACACAGACTGCAGAGGAGAAAAACTTGCAAACCGCCGGACTCATCAACCGTCTGGAGGCACAACATGGCGTCAAAGTGAAACCAAGCTCCCTTCCAACTAAGAAGACCGAAGAAGGCTTTGACCCAAATGCCTACGAACTCATGTCAAAGGCTAGGCATGACTTTGCTTCCTCTTCAAATCTTAGAAAGAAGGTTTCAAACACCGTCAACGACAAAGATCGTGACCTCACCGAGACTCAAAAGAAGTTGAAGGAGCATGATTACGGAGTTGACAACAACAAAGCTGGACTTGGCTTCACACCAAATGCACTCGTGAAGATTTCAAGCAAAGCGAAAAACGCTAGCGCTCAACACATCAGCGTGAGCATTGAACAAAATCAAGAGGAGCCTAAACCTCCTATTCGAGTGTCAGTCTTCGATAGGCTGAATCATTCAAAACCCAGAATTTCGGCACTTGATCGTATTGGTGGGCAAGACCGAACTTCCGTCTTCAAGAGGCTTAACGCGCCAACATCCCAAAGCTCTGTTTTTGAAAGGTTGTTAAAGCCTAAGAAACAAAGCAACACAGCTATCTCTCCTCTGCGACGATCAGCTTCGGAAAGATTTGAAGATAATGAGAAGCCTTTTGGAAAGAGGAAGACAACACCAAAGGAAGAAAAGCTCGATGGGTTAGCAGAAAAAGGCGACGTTCGAAGCTTGATTCCTTCAAGGATGAAGCGCCAAGCAATCCTAGAGGTCGACACAAAAGGACCACTGAAGGTAAAGAGGCGCATCATCGTCCACACTGACAAATCTTCATGCCAACAAACCCAAGAGAACGGCACTGAAGATGAAATCCCTAAGAAAGATGTCACTTCTGGCTCTTTCGACTCAAAGTCTTCACCTCGACTGTTGGGGGCATGCTCCAAGTCAAGTGAAATTGAAGGATGGACTCATGTCACTCCGAAGAAACTGCACGAGAAACATATGTCTTCTCCACAAGTGCACCAATCGGAAAGGGAGCAAAGCAGCTACTGTCAACCTTCAAAGCTACATGAAAATGTTGAGGATGATGAAATTACAACACAAAGATCGTTCATGCGGGATCTTTTGTTCCTCGAAGACGTCTTCAATTACTCGATCAAGGCTCCTTGCTATGAAGATTGTGAGGAATGCAGTTCGAAGATCGCTTCGAAGAAATTGGACAAGCAGCAACCATCTTGTCCACAAGTTTATCAGTCGAAAAGGGGGCAAAACAGCTCTTGTCAACCTCCAGAACAATGTGAAAGTGTTGGAGATGATGAAATTTCGACACAAAGATCGTCCATCCCCATCACAATGTGCGACCTCTTCCCAGAAGACTTTTTCAATTACTCGGTCATGGCTCCTTCCTATGAAGATTGTGAGGAATGCCTCTCTAAGATCGTTTGACAAATTCAAAAAAAAGCTCCTCGTTCGCACGAGCATAAAAGGCGACAACCACAAGCTCCTCGTTCGCACGAGCATAAAAGGCGACAACCAACGCTCCTCGT